TAGGATAGAACTGGAGCTTACATAAGATGATGATGTGACCGAGAAATTACTGGTTCTCTTTCCACCTCGATGTTGCAGGGTCTCCAGCAGAACAGCCAGCAGCAGAACCAGCAGCAGCAGCAACAGCAGCAGCAGCAACAGCAACAGCAGCAGCAGCAGCAGAACCAAATCCCCCCGCCGCCTTTCCAAAGCGGCCAGGACTGGAATCTTTCCAGCGTCCTTCACTACCTCCAGACCGAATGGCGCAAATATGAACGCGACAGGAACGAGTGGGAGATCGAGCGCGCAGAGATGCGGGTCCGTCCATCCAGTCTTTCCTCCGTCGCGTTATCTCAATACCAGTGAATCCCAGGCTCGCATTGCCCTTCTCGAGGGCGAACGCCGTTCCTTTGAGAATGTAAAACTCGACCTCATGCGCCGCATAAAAATGCTCGAGTACGCTCTCCGCATGGAGCGGTGCGTGGATTTCTCGTCCATCCGCCACTTTTGTTTCTTGACGTGTCGTGCTCCAGTTCAAAACAACTCACACAACCGCCCACAACCTCCCAGTCGGTCCCTCCCGCAAAGCTTGCCGCGATTCAAGGCCTCACCTCGTCCACCTCCCAAAAAGACGACGTCGGAAGCCATAAGGAAGAGAGCAGCGGCAGCTCTCCGAGGAGCGAGGGTACATGCATTCCGTCCACCACTGTCTTTTCTCATCATGCAATTCTCTCTCAGATTCCCCGCTACCCGACGGACGCGTCAATGGCGTAGCATCCGTCGGTCCGTCAGGAAGACCAAACTCATGGGGTGGCTCCAATTGGGCGAATGGCCCGGCCGCCGCCGCGGGCTTAGGGAAGCCTCCGCCGGGTCGGGACCCAAAGAGCAGAGCACGGAGTCGCGACTACCTCAAACAGTACGTTTTCATTCCGGCTTGCACGTGTCGGGGCTCACAGCCGGTCCTAGATGCCTCCAGGAAATTTCATATCTCACATCACCGCAGGCAATGAACCCATTGCCCAATCGACCATTACTCAACAACGGTAACATATCGCTCACCCTCCCAAACGCGCCGCCGTTTGAGCAAATGGCCTTTAATGGCAGACCGCGGAAACTGTTGCCAGAGTCGGGCAAAGACTTTCCCATACTGAACGGCAACATGAATCTAATGTCGGGCCCCTCCTCTGCCCCCGCAGCCACGGGCTCGCAGATCCCCAATCTTGAACGGAACAACCCCCTCGGCCCGGGAATGCTGCATCTCCAACATATGCCCCAGCAGCCGCCGCAACAATCCTCCTCCCCGAACCCCGCCTTGATGCAACAAAATGTGGTGCCATCTCAGTCACCATCGACATCGAATCCCGTGGGAGAGAGGGACAGAGACGGCGACTCTGAACCGCGCCAGCTAACCGCAATTTTCCGACCCGATGACGCAGGCGAATGGAAGGAGAAGCTGCGACAGTCACATGAGGCTGAACAGGCTCGTTTAGCACGAGAAAACCAGCAGGGGTGGGATAGGCGGCCCGAGGAGGACGAAGGCAAGGACGAGGACGGCGAGGTGGACGATGACGAGTCTTCCGTGGTTAGCGACGGTGAGGGTAACAAGGTTTGGCGGCCAAAACGGACGCTGAGAAAGTGAGTGGAATGAATTACACGCCGCGTAATACTCACCTCTCGATCAGTCACTTGGATGCCGTTCGGGCACTCGCTTTCCACCCGCATGAGCTGTCCCTCGCGACAGGTGGAGATGACTGCACCGTGAAAATATGGCGGATGGATGTCGCCGGTCTGGCCTCTTCTGCGTGCGTGCCACACCCTCTGAAGAGTCTTACGCTAACTCATCTGGATGCATAGTTCGCGACCGACCACTGAAATTGAACCCCAACTGACTCTCCGCGGCCATTCGGCTGCCATCACGCGGTTGATACACTCGCCGTCAAAGCAGCTTTTGTACTCTGCATCCCTCGATTCGTCAATCCGAGTGTGGGCCCTCCCTTCTCCGTCCCATACTACCTATGCTCCATACGACGAGACCCGTGCGCGCGGCGAGCTTATTGGGCACACCGACGCCGTCTGGGACCTCGCACTTGTGCGGGACGAGAGCACCCTCATCAGTTGCGGCGCGGAAGGCGCGGTGAAGGTGTGGGATGTTAGCGGGCCGTCGGGCGGCGGGTCGCTCAAGCTCACATGGGGGTGGTCGGGGCTGGAGAACGCGGAAGAGCTACAGGATGACGCAGAAGCGCCTGGAGCCACCGCTGTCGAGGCCCTCAAGGTCGATCTAAAAAAGGTGGCCGTCGCATATCAGAATGCGGTCGTCAAGATATTCGATATCGAGAATGGCAAGGAGCTGTCGAAGTTGGCTACTGACATCAGCTATGGTGCGCTGCCGATCTGCAGTTATAGTCTTGGAATCCGAGTTGACTTTTTATCTAGATGGCACGCCAGCTACACAGATAAACCGGATAGTCTCGCACCCTACCATGTCTCTCCTCGTCACCGCCCACGAGGACAAATATATTCGGATATTCGATATTGTGACAGGTTTGTTTTCGCCCCGCGCCTATAAGTACGATCTCATCTTTTATAGGGCAATGCACACACTCGATGCTGGCTCATCTCGACGGCGTCACGTCGTTGTCGATCGACCCCGCCGGCTTCTCGCTCGTCTCCGGCAGTCACGACTGCTCTGTGCGGTTCTGGGACCTCCTCGGCTCACGCGCATGTGTGCAAGAGATGCCGAGCCACCGAGAAAAGGCGCGCGAAGGGGTGCTGGATGTCGAATTCCATCCGTCACTGCCCTTCATGGCCAGCGCAGGGGCCGATGGCGTCGTAAAGCTTTACGCGTCGTCGTAGCCGCTCTCGTTTGTCCGACGTACTTTGCTGTTCGCGGTGGATTATTTTGCTGCACCATAGCTTTGCTTAATTAGAATGTCACTACTGGAATTTTCTTTCGCCGCTTCTTGTACATACAATATGTTTTCACGACTGTCATGAACGCAATTACTTATTATGAATGATCACATCCACGCAGCGCGCGTATGTACAGAAACAACAACAGTAAGGATGGGCGGAAAACACTACAGCTACAAGAGGACTAGTTATACAGTGGGCAAAGGGGAAGGTAGGTTGCAAGATCAAATAAATAATGTTGTCTGGATCATATCCCTGGCACTGCGATGAGCCTGACGCTCGTGACGAGAGGGAGGGAGTGACTCACGAATACGCATCCCTTGGCGCGCGGGCAAAACTTCTACTTTTCCTAGGTCTTTTGCTTCCAGCAGCGCTTTTATCTGGTCAATGATAAGTGTCTGGTTTGGTCGGTCCAAGGCTCCGTCGAGCGTGTCTTTGCAGTGGATCACAAACACGCGCACTCCGTCTAAAGCGCCGCGCACGTCGCTCGGAGCCGACGACATTGGATTCATCCGTTGCTTTTTCCGAACTGGGCGCGCGGAGGCCTGCGCTGTGTTTCGGGCCTTGACGACCTCGGCGGCGAGGACCTCTAGCTCGTTAACCAAGTGTTCGGGTTTTAGGTGGCCGTATAGTGTGTCGTCACTTCTAGAGGACGGCCACGAGCATTCGATAAATATGGTGGACAGTGATAAGGGGATTTTGGGTGCGGCGGCGCGCCACACGTTGATCGTCTGCGGGGACAATGAGAGTGTGTCTGGTTCGAGATCCCCAAAGAAGAGGAATTCAAGGCCAGTGGGATCGTAGCGAATAAAGAAGGCCGTGGAGTCGTAATTGCCTCCGACATTGTGGCCGTGGCTGACGGGGAAACAACAAACAGAGACATTGGGAATTAAGGGTTGGTACGCGTCATTCATGTCGAGGCTTGAGGTGGAGCAAATGAGCGAACGCGAACACTAAGAACCGGGTGGCTCTTACATGGTATAAAGCAGTTTGTGGTCGTCGTCGTCCTCGTTCCAGGAAGCCAAGTTGGGCCATATGCGGTCCGAAAACACGCTCTCGAGGTCTGCCAGGGTCTGTTCTGCGGCACAGAGACGCTTTCGCGGACCACTCAGCGAGCCGGCCGAGATAACCAAGCTATTTACATGGTCGAGGTGGGCGTGCGAGATGAGGAAACAACTGCCCCCTCATGAGCAAAAAAATCTCGAAGAACGACCAGACGAACCGCACGAGCGAGTAGATCTCCGCGGCCGAGTATGGCTTCCTACGCGTCGAGGGCTGGCCGGGCGGCTGGTCGGGTGTACTGAAAAGATCAGGGTCGCGTTGGAGGAGTTTCTGCACTGTTCCTTGTCCAGATCCTGGCTATGCAGTTGGGTCGAATTCGCACGGAATAGCTAATGTTGGCACAAACCTGCCTCCAACGCGATTATTCCATCTTCCCAGGCAGCAGCAGCCGGCTTGAATAGATACCTGTGTCCCGCAGAAGAAAAAAAAGTGAGTTTGCCACGTGGCGCGTTCGAAGCGCGTCGAGACGCGATAGTGAAGACATACGCGGACAGATTGGTCTCGTCTGGACCGCCTCCCTCTCCGACCACGACCAGGTCAAACATGGCGGCAGAAACGAGCAATGTCGTTATTGATCGTGGAGGTGCGGGTAGAACGATCGCGGCGCGTAGTAGAGCTCGACCGTGACGGGAGTTGGCCTCTCTTGACTGCTTCTGGGGTCCACAGGTGCGCCAGTGTCGTTTTAAGGTCCAACTCAACGTCAAAGGCGGGGGCAGTGTCCCTTTATCAGCTGTTCAATTTGAGACTTGAAACCGGCACTGAAATTCTTGATTGACTGGTCGCGAACAATATGCGCCGGATGGGTGCCCCAAAATACAAAGAATGGTGCCTTTATCATGAACTCATTGTTGTCCCTGCCGACTAGCTTACAAGTCAGTCAAAGACGGGAATAATCTGAGATGCGACAAATGAGCAGAGGACGCAACAAATGTTACTGTATATGAATCATGAATCAAGGATAAACAGGTCAATCGCGAGGATGAGCGTTGCACTGAGAATTAAAACAGCAAAAGCAGTTATGCGTTCAATACGCATTTCTCAAAAAAGGCAGACACTACCGTGGGTCGAACACGGGACCGCACGATTGTTGTCCGTAGATTGCAATCGTGCGCTCAACCACTAAGCTATAGTGTCTTGTTTGTTCGTCGTATAACCCAGTATACGCCTACGGGCCATTTCTGTTTGAGAGAACTTATCGGCCCGATGTTCCCATCATCGTGCGCTACGCGACTTGCTTGCCAGCTTCCTGCACCACGATCGAATGGCCTCACTAAAGGATGTCGCGGCAAAAAATCAAGAGTTGTTCGATAGATACAAAGAAAAGTTTAGCACGGTCAAACATTACATCCCAGCCGCCAGGAAGCTCGGTAAATGGTAGTCTTTTTCGCTTAGATTCCAGGTGCCCAATCTCAACCATTTTTGTGACCAGGTTGTCGAGCGACAAGGCATATTATCCCGAGGCGCGCCCCCAGGCCTGTCACCACGCCTTGCACTGCCATATGTACTGACTGCGATCCAATACAGATAGTGGACATCTTCTTGGTACTTTCATCATCAGGCACAGTCGGAAACATTTCAATGGAGAGCAATGATATTACCAGGGAGCGAAGGAAACGCTGAGCACTGCAATCATGACCACTCACTATGGATCCCTGGCTAATGCGTGGATCGACCTCATATTTTCTGTGGCGCCTTTCCAAGATCGGTTCGTTGAACCAGATCTTCAAGGTGAGGGGATCTTATGTGGCTAGAATGCATTGGATTGACTGGTGCAGACTCTATTCGCCATCTTCTCGAAACCGCGGCACGTATGAAACACCCCTCGTCCACCGCAGCTCCTCAAGATCTCGTTCCTTCACCTCCCGCACCCCCGACGTAAATATAGGATCCCCTCACATTATTCCGCGTCCAAAAAAAGTAATTGCCTGTAGGGACCCGGTGCATCTGGCTCCATTTCTTGCTACTGTCATAGAGCCAAGCCAGCGGATGCGCCCTAGTTCATCGTCCTTGGCCTCGGCTTTAACCCCGACCGCTGCTAGTCATACTGCGGTAAATTCTCCAGTGCCTGTGACTGATCATGCTCTCAGCACACCGGTAATGCGAGCATTTTCTCGTAACCTTGCCTGACCATCCCCTACCATTCAGGTTCAAGAAACTCAACCACCACTACCACCACCGACAAATGCGGCTCCCGCCGTCGAACCTGTACCTCTAACGTCGTCCGCTAAGCCGAAGCGTAAGAAGAAGAAGAAAGAGGATCTGTCCAAGCTCATCCAGGCCGACGTACAACATTACTACCAGAAAAAGGGGAACATGCAGAAACCGACGGTGGATGCACAAACCGGGATCGGCGGGGTCGCTCCAATTGCCTCGACATCGAGGGTTACTCTTGAGGATATCCCGGTCAGGGATGGTGGATCGAGGGCCGACAGTCCTGCTGCTCCTGCTTCCGAAATACATTCGAATCTGATTGCGAGTTTGAGCAACCAACCTGCAGGCATGGAAATGACCGATTCCCCCACACAAGCGCTATCTTCAGCTTCCGTATGTCTATTCGACTATTGTAGCATTTGCTAGCACTGATATCTCCAGACCGGTGATGCTTTACCGGCCACCGGTTCTGAAGCCCTGTCCCCTGCCCTGAACAAAGAGGTCATTCGCGTCTTGCATACATTGACGGGCTCGGCGTCTACAGCTGAGGTGACTCGACCTTTTCAAAGTCCACTTCTGTGAATAACGAAAGCTGTCGTCGTGAAGGTTGCGGATTCCCGTGTGGACGAGGCGATGCCTGCAGTGTCGCCCGACGTTAAACTGGGTTCGCAGCCGACACCAGAACTAGAAACGGCAGCTGATATAGAGGGAGTCGTGGACATGGAAGTGGACACTCCACCGCCCCAGCCAGGCCCTGCCGACGCCACCGTAACCGACGCAGGACTCGCTCCAGGAAAGACAGCACATACTCCAGCTGTTTTGCAAGCAATCATCAAAAACATGGTCAACAACGTCAACAAACTCATTGCTTCTGTATGATGTCCTTAGCCGCCGCCGAAAATACACTAACAATTTTTCCACCGCCAGGATACAGTACCACCGCGCCCCACATCTTTAGAGGAGCTGCCCGCTCCTTCGGTGACAGACGAAACAGAGCCTGACGGCGGAGAATTTTCAACGATAAACCTCCCCGTGTCTGAAGACTTTCACATGGAGGACTTCACGCCGTCGACAAGTACATCCCAAACTATCTCAAAAGTCGGTATCTTCACTTACTTCCATCAGAAACTGGAATTGAGGCGGCAACCGTCATAACTAGCCAACGCGGCTTAGCTAGTGGGACAATCAAAATAAACTTGACAATCACTGAAGACCAGTTGATCTCGATAGCGAAGTGGAACGATCGTTCGAAACATTCCGAGTACGTCTCACTCGTTATTCTTTCTGCGTGATGCTGAGAATAGAGCATCAAGTGATCTCAAACAGAGCTTATGTATATCTTTGCTGTGTTTTGCGATGGACGATGTAAAAACACAGCTGGAATCATCGAAAAGTAATGATCTTTGCACCCTTCTCCCCGAACTTGAATGTTCGTGGCCCAGTGATGGTAAGCCGCGCTGATACTATAGCAGAACGCGACCGCTTACATCCTCAAGGTGGTTTGAGCATGAATGCTTTGTGGAACGGCCAGCGCATGAGATTTCCCATGTCTCCACCATTTGCTGTACGTTGCGATGCTCGGCGTCTAATCGACATCCAACTCAAGTGTTGACAGCTGCCTCCGAATGGATTGGTGGATGTGAATCTATTCCTGGTCTTGGGAAAGAACACCTTCCGCATCACGCAAACGCGCGACATGTCAAAATACTGGCTGCTTCTCTGCGCTCACCGTCCTACCCCTTATCAGCTCAATGCGGTTGCGCGCCGCCGCCACAAGGAGACCAAATGGAATGGTTGGCTCGGGAACATCTCTCAGCCGCTGCAATTGCCGTTTAGAATGCCTATCGAAGCGTAGTGTATTACTATCGTGCTTACTGTATCCCGAACGAGATCGATTCGTTGATGCTCGAAAATATTTCGAATCCTTGGTTGTGAAAGCATAAAGCAACCTGCGAACAAGACGCAATGTTGGTTCTGTACATCCATTATACAGCGCCTGCAACTGTTACTCAAGGAAGCCGTGACGCGATCAGATCGCCGCACCGATGCGCGCGACCTGCGCCAGGCGTTTTAGATTTCGTGGCATGTCATTATATTCATATGTAAAGAGTGTGTTAAATATACGAGTACAGATACTTAAATATCACTGAGCGAGTGTTGGGATCCTGGATGGCCTTCTCGAGGCTGTTTGTACATTTGCATTCTCTTTCTCGCACTGCGTTTTAACAGGGGATGTTGAATTGGCGGTTTTCGGGGACAATTTGGTCTTCGTGGCGGATGTCGCCACTGTCGCCGAAGCAGATCGGTTGATGGTTCTCGACGGTGTTCCCACAATGGATGACTGGGGCCGGAGGGGCGGAGGTCCCATAGACCCACGCTTCGAAGGCGTCGGTGCTATGGTGGTCGAGGTGTTGAGGCGCGTGCTCCTGTTCAAAGTAGGAATTTTGGTGGAGCCTTCCGCCGACGGTTTGCGCTCCCTGATAGATTCAATCGAAGCCCCCGAAGGTTTGCGTTCCCTGGTAGAACTAACTCCGAATTCGGATGTGAACGATGACGACCGCGACATCCGGGATGTTGACGACACCAAGGATTCGCGACGCTGATGTGTGGGTTTGCTGGACTGCGACGGAGCATTGCCTGCGGTGCCCCTGACTCCGAGGCGTCGTTTGAGCTAGTAAAGAAGTATTAAGCTTCAGAAAGATCGTGCACGAGTGAAAACTCACCAGCTCCAGTTCCTGTTGCTTGGAGTCCAGCGCAACGTTCAACCCTTCCAGGTCTTGTTTGTCTTGGGCGCGCTCCTTCATGAGTTGTGCGACGCGGAGCTCCTTGTCAGAACTCTCCCGCTGCAATTCGCTGCTTTGGCCCGTCAGTCGCTCGATCTCGGCCTGGAGTTCAAACAACGATGTCGTTTGGGCGTCAATCTCCAACTGTTTCCTTGCCGTGTCCTGGAGCGCAAGTTCGAGTGCGACGGATTGCTCTCGTTTCGTCGTGTTAACCTGCTCCCGAAGTTGCTCGGTTTCGGTGGTACGCTCAAGATCCCGGAGTCGAATATCATCTTCGAGGCGAGAAATACGCCCTTGCTCTTCTCGAATTTGATCTTTGAGCTTGGGAGCGAATAAGCGAGTTATTCAGCCTGCCGAAAGAATGTTATGCCATACCTGATCTCGCTCCTTTTCTAGCGAGTTTTTGACGTCCCAGAGCCCTTGTAGATCTTCTTCCAGTTCCAAAGCCTTCCGCTCCGCCATCTCCGCCCCGGCTGTCTTCTTTTGGAGCATGGCCACTTGAAGTCTAAGCGAGTCGCGCTCCATCGCAAGCGCACATTTGCCCGCTTCAGTGGCTTCGAAGGATTTAGCTGCTTTGTCGGCACGATCCCGGGTCACGGATAGCTCAGCCTTCAACGAAGCAAGCTCGTTATCCCGAGCTTTTAACTGTTGCTTGAACTTCTCGATGTCGCTACCCAAGCAAGCGTTGTCGCGTCGCAGATCCGTGTTTTCGACTTGCCAGACCATTTCGACAGCTGTGTGCCTCTGCTGCTCCTCGGCGTTGCTCGTCTCCAACGCAGCCACAGCGCGTTTCAAAGCGTCTTCTGCGATTCGCTCCTGTTCCTTCTGTTTCCCTTCCTTCTCGCTGAGACTTCCCAACGATTCCCGGAGCCTGACTGCTTCGTTGCGACTCTCCCCCGCCAATGTCTCCAGCCTTCTCACTTCCTCCCGCAACACGACTTCCGTCCGCTTCCATCCGTCTCTCTCTCTCTCGAGCCCGGAGATTTGACGATGTAGCATTCGCAGAGCTTCTGAACTGGCTTCGTCCATGATGCTGCGATCCATGCTCTCCTGGCGCGATCCCTCCACTTCATCCTCAAGGAACCGACACGTCTTCTCAAGCTCGGCGACCTTTTTCTTCCAGGCCCTCAGAAACTTGCGCTTCTTAACATCATCGTCCTCCGCCTCTGCAAGCTTCTTTCCCAGCATCTCGACGAGCTC